CTCCCGCGCCGAGCCGCCCTGCGCCTGCGCGCCGCCCGGAACCGCCGCCGGAACCGAGCGGGTCGGAGCGCAGGTGCCGGGCGGCGGCCGGAGAAGCTGCGGGAGTTCGCGCTCGGTAAGTTCGGAGCGAGCGGCTCTGGCGAGCGGGAGGCCGTGACCTGCGCCGCCCCCGGGGTTGCGGGAGGAGGGGCGTGGGGCGCAGAAGCCTGTTCTTAATTTGTTGTTTGTGTGTCCTGGAGGAGAGCACGGAGTTTGAAAACAGGGGAGAAGAGAGGGTGGGGCTGGGCCGGGTGGGACTGGGGAACCCCGAGTGCCAGGGCGGTGAGGACCTGGGCAGGTTAGCGGAAGGTGGAGCCCACGCCCGGTGCTGGCAGGGGAGGAAGCGGGGAGCGCGGCCGCAGTGAGGCCCGGGCGGGCGGAGCGGGGCAGGTGTTGGCCGGTCCCGACCGGGGTTTGCCCTTGTGTGTTTCCACTTTTCTGGTAGAAGCGATTCCTTCCGTCGTGGTAAGTGTGCACACATTGCGCTCACCCTCGCCACTTCCCACCTAGGACATGACCCGAGTGGGACGTCGCGGCCATGGGGTCGTGGCATTCAGTCTCTGCTCGCCTGCCCTCCTCCACGCGAAAGAAAGATGACGGGGAGGATTACCTGGCTGACCCTGAGCAAGAAGAAGCCATCGCCCGGTTCCCGTATGTGGAGTTTACAGGGAAAGATAGCATCACCTGTCTCACCTGCCAAGGGACAGGCTACATCCCAACAGGTGAGCCTTGGGGTCAGGGAGCAGACCCCTTCCCCGCACAGCTTTCCCGGGCCCCTCGGGGTGCTCGTGTCTGTCTGGTCAACAGCGATTCTCTAGGCAGCAGTGTCTGTAGTCATAGACTGAACTAGAGCCGCTCTGCTGTGCTGGGTGACTTGGGCAGACTGTGCAAGTTTTGTTGGTCTCCTTGTATTTGACACCCTTTCCTTTCTTTGCGTCCACCCTCTTCCTCATTTTCTCTTTCCTCGTCCTGTGGTTTTGGAGTTTTCATTTGCTTTGTGTTGTGGAATCTGTGGAAGGCATATTTCTTTATTGCTTTTGCTTGTAAGGACTGGCACAGCTTTGTAGGGGGCTGTCTTGGATGCTTCATTAGAAGAAAGAGAACAAATTATTAACCTAGCACCTGCAGACTACCTCCTGTGGGAGAAAGGCCTGCTGCACAGGGGCGGAGGCTAGGTGAGCTCTGGGGCTGTCTGTCATCTGGCTTGGGGCTCTGAAAGTCGCAGCAGTTTAGACGCAAAGTTTAGGGCTGCCAAAATCCTTTGGCCCTGTTTACCGCAAACCTTCCCGTTAAAGGTGAGGAAAAGTGCTTTCGAGAGGTGTGATGCCCCCAGAGCCACGCAGGAAAGCCAGAAGACCCAGATTTCTCAGCCTCCCCACACTGCCCTGGCCGCACTCATGGCTGCTTTGTAACTGGCCACACACTATGTGGATACCGCACTGTTTGTCCTTCATGAGACTTGTAACTTGAAACTAGTATTTTTAAAGCTATCCAATCCCAGAGAGATGTCTGCGGTGGCAGGCTGCTTGAGGCACACGGAGGAGCGTGGGCTGCACAGGACGAATGCTTGCTTCTTTCCTAGAGCAAGTCAATGAGCTGGTGGCTCTGATCCCACACAGTGACCAGAGGTTGCGCCCTCAGAGAACGTGAGTTGCCCGCTCTCCACTTGGTAATGCCTCTTCCTGTCCCTCATTTGAATAGGGATGAACGCCAGTGAATGCTATGAAAACTGTGTATGTTCTTCTAAACCCATTTCCTTTGTCAGAATTTGCCCAAGAGGGATCTCTGCTCCCCATCACAAGCTGGGGAGAGAAGATGGAAACCTTATGTGTCCTGAGGGCCTGCTGAGGGTGTCCCAGGAGGGCGGAAATACCTCAGTCCATGCGGCCCCGCTCCAAAGGGAGCTAGCAGCACTCAGCGGGGTGGAGGAAGGCTTCTCCCAGTTCATTCCACTGGCTTGGACTCCTGGTTCTTTGCTAAGCACCCCACTTTGGGGTCTGGCATTGCATTGAATCTCGCCTGGCTGGACCCTGATACCCACCTGCCTGTTTTGCTGTGCCCTGGGTCATTGCAGTAAGCAGTATGTCCTTCTGTCGGTCCTGCTGTGCCTCCTGGCGTCTGGTTTGCTGGTCTTCTTCTTGTTTCCACATTCAGTCTCCGTGGATGATGGCGGCATCAAAGTGGTGAAAGTCACTTTTAATAAGCAGGACTCCCTGGTGACCCTCATCATCATGGTAAGTGCTGGTGCCGGGCCTCCCACACCGTGTAGCTGCAGCTCTTGGACCAGTGCTGAATGCTTGTTTCTCTGTGTTGATGCAGGCCACCCTGAAAATCCGGAACTCCAATTTCTACCATGTGGCAGTGACCAGCCTGTCCAGCGAGGTTCAGTACATGAACACAGTGGTTGGCACACATGTGACCGCGAATGAGTCCCGTATCCCGCCGCGGGGCGAGGAGCTGGTGCGCCACTTTCTCAGTCTCTGTGGTGTAGGGGGCGGTGGGGCCGTGGGGAGGCCACAGCTGCAGGCTTGCTGTGCGTCCTGCTTACACCTGGTGACACTGGTTGATGAGGGCCACCCAATGCCTCCATGCTTATGAACAGTTTTAGAGAAGAAGAAAGTAGCTAGCATTTAAGTATTTGGAGCAAAAGAATATGCAAGAGGAAGAGCCTGCACAAGTCCAAGGGGCAGTGTCATAGTCTGAGGTCCACTGGCCCAAAAGAAGAGCAGTTGGAGGCAGATTTTAGAGGCTCAATGGCTGTACCAAGGACAGTCTTGGGGACATGTTTTGTCCATAATGGAAGAGTGGCCTGGGGCTGTGAGCTGCTGAGAAGAGTCCATTCTGTGTCAGTCAGTCCTTGGCGACAGGCCGCCTTGGTGTCTTTGCAGGTGACCTTTACGGCAAAGGCTGAGATGGGTGGCCCGTATTCCTACGTGTAGTAAGCACTGCGTTCTCTGGCTGCGCTTTCTTCAGTGAAGGGATTTGGAGCAACCCTCAGGGGCCTGGAGCCTGTCCCTGCCAGAAGTCCCCACCTTGGCCTGCGGGCTTCTTAGCCTCGGCCGTCTCTGTGTTCCTGTGAGGATGTCGTTGATGTGTGCCAAGAATGCCTGCATTTCTGAGGGAGAGCACTGAGCAGTAGGAGTGGCACTGAGCTCCAGGGCTTCTGTGATGGGCTTGGCAAAACAGAGAAGGCTGTGGGTGTGGAAAGACACTCGTGGGGGCCTCTGGGTTGCAAGCAGGGGTGTGGGCGGGAGAAGGCACCCAGAGCATTGAGCGGTGGCTCAGACCCCTCCGCAGGGCCTGCCCATGCTTTGCCTTGTCCTACGCCAAGCTGACCGTCCTGTGTTTGGCACTTGACAGCTTCTTCTGCACACTGCCCGGCCTCCTGCTGCACAACATTGTGATCTTCATGCGGTACGTCACGATCTCCCTGTCCCAGTGGCCTTCTTGTTGATGCCGGGACCAGCAGGCCCCAAGAGCTCACACCTTTGTCAGAGGCTCCCAGAGAGGGGCCCCAGGACAGCCTCACGTTCTCATGGTGTGGCAGCCTGTTCCCCTGCAGAGGTCCCAGTGAGCAGTGACTCGCTGCGGACAGCAGAGGATGGAGTTTGCTCCAGGAAACGGGGTCTAACTTAATCGAATGTGTGTGACCCATTTTGAATCCTAATGAGACCAGTGAAGGACAGAAAAGCTCTATCCAGGTGTCAGTACAGCTGTGACCATGCGATAGGCGCCTGTATCACCACGCCTCAGACCTGTAGGCTTATGCTGGGCTGTGGCTGTTCTGTCTGTAGGTGATGGACTCTGCTGCAGACATTTGAAGTATGAGGATTAGAGCAAGATTTCTCAGCCTCGGCACAGGAGGCATTTTGGACCAAAGAGTACTGTTCTAGGGCGCTGTCCAATGCATGTAATATCTTTAACAACATCCCTGGTCTCCGCCAGCTGGGTACTACTCACACCCCCTGGCCTGAATTTGTGTAACAACCCAGAATATCTAGACTAAGCCAGGGTCTCTGCGAAGTAAAGTCTCCCCAATTAGTAATAGCTTAGGCAGGAGGTGACCTCACGACGTAGCATCTTTGGACATGGCAAGGTTCCCTGGCGCGCTGATTATATACTCGGTACTGTCTCCTGAACTTGCAAGAAGTTGGGCTGTCCTGCTTGCCTATTTCCTCTCTTCTTGGCTTTCTTTTCCGTAGAACTTCAGTGAAGATTTCCTACGTCGGCCTCACGACTCAGAGCGCCTTGGAGACGCACCACTACGTGGACTGCGGCACGAATTCCACAGCTGCTTAGCGCCTGCTCCTGGTCCCCGTGGCAGCACCTGTGCCCAGGTGCGGCGTTCACCTCCACCAGGTGGTCAGAGCCGGGGAGGAATTGGCTGTGTTGACCCCGACAGACGCCTTCCTGCCCTCAGGGCAGTCTCCGCAGCGCTGTGTGCGTCCAGAGCTGGCGGAGTCCCTCACTGCCCAGGGCCTGCCTGTGCCCAGCGAGTGGTTGTCACTTACTCATGAGGACTTAAGGAATTTGATTCGGACCTTTTCAGCTGTTGAGACCTGATAAGCTGAAACCGTACCTGGGCTGTGTTGCAGTGGCACTGCTCGTGGGCATGGGAGTGGCAGCAGGAGGAACCCGAGACACCTAGGAAGACGGCAGGCCTGTGACACACATGGGTTTCCCCTGCTCCCAGGTGTCTAGGCACTTTCTAAAAGGATGATGGCGCTGTACGAAGTTACAGTTGGGTTTCCCGAGAGTCACTGGGAGCCTCGATGCACCCTTCATCCCTTGGCTAGAACATCACCTGGGGATTTGATAGAAAAATAAATCCTGGTTTTGATTGATCGGTTCTCCTTTGATTGCCTGGGGGAGCCATGGATTCGTTGCCTGCCGTGGGGGTCAGCACAGACGCAGGATGGGGAAGGAGAAAGGTCCCTGACTGTGGGCTCTGTCCCTGTGGGCACTGTCAGCAAACTCCACCTGCTTCACCCCATACCTGGCTGCCTTGTTGCTCCTCCAGAACAGAGTGCGCAGCACCCCTTGGAGATTGGATATGGCAGGGCAAAGATGTCCGCTTCCTGAATCCCCCACTCTCCCCTGGCTGTTCCGAGTTCCCTCCACCTCCTGTACCTGCTCAGCCTCAGCTGGCTATATGGGTACAACTATCTAGAATTTCCTTTCAGCAGCCTCATGTTAGAAGGGTGATACAGGGCTGGCGAGGTAGCTCAGCAGACTAAAGAGCCGCTTAGGCAAACCCAGGGAACACAGTTCTATCCCTGGCACCACACGCCATGCCAGCCCCAACCCCAAGGTGGGCTGAGCTAACCAGAGTCCAGGCATGGTGGCACACACCTGTAATCCCAGCTCTGGGGAGGTTGAAAACAGGAGGATCACCAGGAGTCTGAGCTGCATAGTGAGACCCTGGAACAACCAAACACATTTGAAAAAGCAGGGGAGGGTGATAGGGTTGACCCAGGTGTCATTACTGCCACCTGTGTGTCTCCAGTGGTGTGGCCAGGCCTGGTGGTGCTCACCTGTAATCCCAGGACTCCTGAGGCTTTGCAGGAAGATTGCTGGGAATTGAAGATCAGACCGGGCTACATAGAGAATTCAAACCCAGCTTGAACTGCGTCATGAGAACACTTGTCTCAAGAAAACAAATTTGTTTTTGCAGAATATTCTTTGGAGGGAGGGCCCTGCTGGAGATGGCTTCTCTGTTGTCAAGGCTCAGCCTGCAGTGTGACCTGTTCTATCTCAAACCGTACTCGATCGCCTGGCCAGAGACTTGCAGCCCAGAAGCCTGCAATTCCTTATGCCTATGCATCCCCTGAAGGTGCTCACTGGGCACCTGGCTCGTGCCGAGGGCTACAGCTCCCGATGCGTTCGTCCAGAGGCTGAGCTAGTTTGACTTCACCAAAGCTGCAGCGCTGGCCTGGCCACGGGCAGCCTGCCGCCTGCCTCCGCCAACTCTTCTGCAGCCCTGGCTGCCCACAGCAGACTCCCAGGATCCCTGGCTTACTGTCCCAGGGACACTAGCCCGAAGACTGGAACAAATTATTAAAAGAGCCTATTTGTTAAAGCCTTGTGTGGATCAGCTGGAGTCCCTGATGTTTTTGTTAGTAGGCAAAATGATCCTTCTTTGCTCTACATAAAGATCTTCACCACCTTATCAGCACTTGCCTACAATTCTGTGTTCCTCACCTCATTTAGAAAGAAGCACTGGGTCACCTGTGTGGTGCACACCTATGATCCCAGCACCCTCGGGGGCTGAGGCAGGAGGGCCGCAAGTTAGATCCCCGCCTAGGCAACTTCTTGAGACTCTTTTTAAATAAAAATTTTGAAGGGCGGGGGAGGTAGCTCAGTGCAGAAGCTCTAGTTTAATGCCCACACCTCAAACAAGAGAAGCACTGGGTCAGAAGTTGTCCCATGATTCACGCGGGACCTGGGGGTGTTGAGCATAGCGCTTAGCATGTGTTCAGCTGGCTGGATCCCGACCGAAAGTCCTCTGGTGCCACTGTCGCAGAGGGCGAGAAGCTCGAGGCAGGAAGAGCAGCCCAACCAAGCCCTCCCTGCCCTGCCGGTGAGCCGGCTTTGTCCTTGCCTTCCTGCTCCCTGAGGCTTTGTCTCACAGGTGCTGTGGCTGGAGAGAACTTCGGCCTTTCTGGGGCCTCAGGGACCCCGACTCAGCAGCGATCCGGCTGGGGTCCACGAGGGAGCAGCAGGGGAGCCCAGGCACCAGCTGACCAGAACAGGCCTTTGGCCTTGACCACGGTCGCAGGCGGAAGCCGGGCTGCCTGCTCCACCGCGGCCCCAGCCCTGTGAGCTCCTCCTGGTCCAGGTCTCCCCTCCTCCCCCAGGAGCAGCTGCTTCTGCTTCCAGGTTTCCCTGGGCCCCCTGGAGTCACCGGGGCCCCCGTGGGTCTCTCCTATAGAGATCTCAGCACATGGCCACATCTACTGCATGGCTCTGTTCCCAGTGGGCAGGGGCAGCAGGGAGCAAGAGGCCTGAGGGTCGGATCTGCTCAGCTCTGCAGTGCCAGAGCTGGCCAGGGCCGGGTCCCTCCGTGTGCGCAGCCGTCCCCAGCTCTGCCCTGGGCCTCTGCTCTTAGCAGACCGAGGCCTTGTTTGTTTTTAATTATGGTTTGGTCCTTCTTTGTTTTTAATTGTTGTGTCATTTTCTTTCTTCCTTTTGCCGTCCTGGCAAAAGGTATACTTTATTGATCTGCATTTAAATGAATTGAGTATTGATGGAATAAATTCAACAAAGTGTGTTTTATTTATATTTATTAAAACAGAAACTTTCAACCCTAACCTCTTGGAAGAGGCTGGGGTGGAAGGAAGGCGCAGACAAGCCCTGGCTTGGGATTGGTCAGCAGCACCCGCCAGGTATATTTTGAAATCTCTAATGGAATGCCGCCCTCGCAACGCCACTGCTTGCGGGCTCCCACGGCCCTCTAGTGGGAAAGGCGACGACTTGCTCGGTCCTGCCACTTGGAAGCATCGGAGGGACACCTGGTGGTAAGGAGAGGGAAGGCTGCTCGCGATCAGCCGGGTACCAGCGCGGTCCGCGGGAGGCTTCAGCGCAGGCGGGAAGGGAGCGCGTGGGGAGGAGCGGCGGCTTGTGCGGGCAGGGCTGGGCTCTTCTCCCACGCTTGACCTGACAGTCCGCCGGCAAGAGGCACACTGCAGTCCGGGCGGCTCCCGCGCTGGGCGCGCTGCTGAGGCAGCCCCCTCCTGACCTCCTCCCTCCTCCTCTCCTTTCCTCGAGAGTGTCCCTGAGTCCAGCAGCCCCAGAGGCGCTCATCCGGCCTCAGCCCAGCCCCAGGGCCGCAGCCTGGCGCCATCCTGCTCTGGAGCGGTCCCGCCTGTGATGAATAAATGCAAAACTAAATGTAAAAAAATTACTCTGCTCAACTTTCTGTTACTCTCCTTCCTTGTAAGACTGCAAGGAGACTTGCTGTACTGCCGATCAATCATCAATAAACTGAGAGTTCCTGGAATAGACCTACAAAATAAGTCAAAGAAAAGTCGAAGTGTATCTAACTACAAAATAACTAAGGTGTTGCTAGCCAGCTGGAAAGCGTTGCCGCGGTGTCCAAGGCCACGAGTAGGCGGGTGTACGGTAAAGAGAACTAAACGCTGCTCCCAGAAAAAGTGTATCGTGCGTAGTGGTCGCGCTGCCCCTAAAGGTACTGTTCTGTGTTAATGACAAATTTGCCAAACAGGATGCAGTTTCTAGCTTTAAAACCTCTAAACTCCTAAGGTTCCTCGCTGTTTGTCCTCTCCTGTGTGAGTATGGTCAAGCGGTCCCGGGCCCTATAATAAAGGCTCATAAATTTTAATATTGGATTCTGGTCTGGTTTCTGTGTTGATAACCCATAACACAGCCATCCTCCAGGGGAGCTTCCCTCCCCAAATCCCAGATCTCCAGTGTGAATATGGACAGTGTCTCTCAAAGGGACAGGCTCAGTCCCCAGAGCGAGGCTATTGAGAGGAGGTGAAAACTCTGCCTGTGGGAGTCACTGGGGCCATGCTGGCCGAGGCTGTGCGTTGTCCTCGCTGGAGACGCTGGAGCCCTGGCTGTCTCTCCTGCTTCCTTGCGCCCTCTAGGTGCTGCTGCCCTATGTGCTGCCTGCCTCAAGGCTGCCCGGCCTCGAACTTAAACTGGGTTTCTGGCCCTCGCTCACCGCTGGGGTCCGCACACTGTCCAGGCTCTGTACTGGGTTTCTGGCCCT